GACGGCGGGGTGGGGGGCTCGGGCGCCCAGCAGCCCCACGGGCATCGGGGCTGGCAGGAGGCACAAGGAAGGCGGTGGAGGGGATCTCCTTGCTGGGACCGTACGTGGAGGGGATCTCCTTGCTGGGACCGTACGTGCGCTCAGGACACCGGGGGAGGGCTCTCCGGCCCGAAGATGCCACCGGAGCTGGGCAGTGGCATCCAGGAAGGGACGCGCCAGAGCCCTCTGGATGCTGCAACGTGGATTGAGGCTTGTGTGCTCGCTCCCCTCCCCGCTCCGCAGGAAGGCGGCAGATTAATACCTGGGCATTAATTATGAAAGAGCTCATTGTTCTGGCAGGGCCAATTGAGGCGGCGATTTACAGGGCTGCTGGCACCCGCCGAATTCCCCTGACCGAAGGAAAACACTTCTGGCAAGAGGAGAGGCAACGGCTCTGGCCACGTGTGTCAAAACAGAGCCCTTTCCCATCAGGAGCTAATTGAGATCCAATAATGCGGTTAACAGGGGCTGATGTTAAGGGGGGGGGGTGTGTGTGTGTTTAAAAACGCGCTGAGCAGAAGCCCAGTGCCACGGCTGGGTGCGGGGACGCGCGGCTCCGATGCTGGGAGTCGTTAAACCTTCGCTAAGTGTGTTTTAATGCTCACTTGACATTTCATTATCGCACAGTAACTATTCAAATACATGTCCCCTCCAGAATTAATTAGTCGTTATACAGGATATTAATCAAAGGGGACTGTGTCAATGTGCTTATATCCGAAATCCGATCCAGCTGTTGCTGTTACTGGGCGGCACTGGAAGAACCACACGGATTTCTGCGCTCCTCTGGCTTTCAATTTGATGGATCAAATCCTTTGGCTGACGCTTTTCCCGGCCCCTCTCCACCCCCTCAATCTAATAATAATTCGGCAGCGTCAGCCCCACGCTTCTCGGCAACCCTACAATAACAGAGCCGGGAGCATCAGCCAAGGCTGGGGCACCGCTCTGCTGGAGCGCAGGGGCCTCGCGGCGCGGTG